CTCGATCGTATTAGAACTATAGCTCAGTGAAGAAGGATATTAGATGCTTTTAAAAAGGACATACGTTGGAAATAACTTGAAATGCTTAGCTGGTTTAGCAGAAAATTTCAAGTATTTCGGGGAAATAAGTCAGGGAAACAGTTGAAATGCCGTATTCAAAAGACGCTGAGCCTGCAGTGAATCGAACAGTCACATTTCCGCATCACAGAGCTAGCTGAATCGGCTAAACGTTGCTTTGTATTGCTGTGTCATCGCTTAGAATTTGAGTGCTAAAATTAAACCCTCGAGAATTATCCACTACCGAAATTGAAGTAACATACGCATTTTTAAAGCCCTGTGAGATGCAAGGCTGTATAAGGCATTGATCAACAGAAAATAATTTACTGAGATAAATAGAAACAGGACGAATTTCTTTATTGAATTCAATAAGTGACGCAATCAAGAATTTATAAGAACTCGTATATATGTCAAAAATATCTAGATAAGAAACTGTGAAAGAACGTTTTCATGTAACCGACGACATCTTCACACGATATATTTCTAAAAACATTTTATTGACAAGAAAAATTTAATACCTTGTTTAAAATTGATTCTAACGAATTCTTGGAAACATATTGCAAACTTTTACTGCACTCATTTTTTATTTTTAATTTAAACTGCTATGAAATTTAATATAATTTTTAGACTACAGAGTCCGAAATTCCAAAATATTCTTTTATACCAATAACTCTGGTGGGAAAAAAGGAAACTATTTTGACCCTTTTCAAATCATAAGAAAATAAGATTTGTACTTGCTTTCGACAGCCTGTGATTTTACCTATTCTTATCGTCCCTCATTAGCATTCAATTCTGCTACCACACGATGAGTCAGAGATTGCTAAAATAGAGCAGAAAAACTGTCTACCAAGTGATTTGAGAGCAGATAGATTAGTTACACTCGGAACAGAAAATCTCCAAGTTTAACGTACAGCATCTGCACCAACCAGCATACAAAGGAGATTATTCTATTAACGGCGTATCTTACCGCTCAGGAAGAAAAGCTGTAGAACGATTATCATCACTTTAAAAGCAACACCACCTTTCTTAATTTTTTGAAATTTCAAAGAGGAAGAAGATACTGAATTTTTCGCAACCAAGAACGAATATTTCTGAATTTTATTTCACATCTGGTAGAAGCATGTGGTCTCAAGTTTATATCAGATGTAAAATAAAATTCAGAAATATTCGTTATTGGTTGCGAAAAAAGGCAGTATTTTCTTCCTCTTTGAAATTTCAAAAATTGAGATAGATTGTGTTGCTTGTTAAGGAGTGAAAGGTATATAAAATAAGTTTAAAATTAAAAAAAGAACTGCTTTAAGTTTTAAAAACAACTTATGTACTGTCTCTTGGGATATATACATAATTCATTTGTGCAAAAAGGTTTGTACGCTAACTTTGTTCTATGAATAATTTCTCAAACAAAACCATACCTTTATTCGAATAGTAAGACAGCAAGGTACACGCAACTGATTAAAATACAATCTGTTAAAATCACGCGCTTCAAAAATTATGCCATACGATGGGAAAGGAATTAGAAGCTTATTTATGAATAAGAAATTAATGCTCGTCTTAGAACTATGCTCGGAAAGGCAAAAAAAAGACAGATGCGTTACTGCTGAGTGTAGAGTTACAATGAAAATAAAAAACTCGAATAAAAAATATCCAAAAAATTTAATAAGGATATTTTTAGAGCTTATTTCAGTAATATTTTATCACGCGTAAAAGTGGAGTAGGAATAAATCGAATTTAAAATACATACTTTAATAAAAGCCTTTATGATCATTGATAAAACCAATTTTAAATGAAGCTTGCCTTTCTTTACATGTTTAATTTAATCGAGAAAGAATATTTCTATTAGAAACAATTCTATAGACCCTTTTCATTTGTCTTATTTTTCTTAATCCTTTGAAGTGATACCAGCTACGTTATGAGAAAATGGAATAAATCTGATATTCATTTGATAAATTATTTCTCCGTCTCAAAATAATGACAGTAAAGTAATATTTCTGAAGTTGGAAAACGAATTAAATGTATCAAAAGAGAAAAATAACGCTAAGTATTATTTGATGATGTGTCTGATGAGGGCTTTGCGACATTTAGAATTCAGCAGCATTAGAAGATAAGTTGAATTAAATTTTTTGAAAGCATATTGAACACAACTTTTAAAAATGATTGTTAACTTAAAGATCCTGCAATGAATATTTATAAAGTATTGACCGATTTTTTTGATTGCAATGTTTTAAAAAATCCCTAGAGATCGTATTCGTTTATGCTTTGATAGGAGTTTCTTAGAAAGGAACTGTTAGCAATATTTCAAGAAATTTGTTTACTGCTATTTCCCCTGCTCTAATAGTTATGCAATTTTATTTGTTTTGTTTCAGGAGCGTTTGATGACGATGTTGAAGAATAATGCAGCAAAGGTGTTGACATTTCCATATCACGAGGAACAATTACATTAATAATATATTTATAAAAAAGGGCTTCTTTCCTTCTGTAGGTTGTTAACCCTACATTCAAGCAGTGATATACAGGGTGTTCATTAATTATTGTCGGGGTTTCCGTACCTCATAACTTTCGAATAAAAAATATTACGCAAAAACCGATTACGTATTCGTAAATTACAACTCAAAGAATTTCATTAATGATATTAAAAAGATTAATGAATTTGCACATGGCTGCCCTTCGTGGCCTTCACCTTTGGGCTATCTCTTTCCAATTCTCGATAATCGTGTGAGTTCTCCGAGCCCCATATTCTACAGTTATGTTTATTCACTTTTTCTGACACATGAAAAGTGGATTCGTCACTGAAGAACCTTTTTCCGAAGGTAATTTTCATCATCCTCAATTCAAGTCAAAATTTGTTCAGCGAACTCAAAACGACGCGGTTTATGATTCGGGTGTAAAGCTTGCACAATTTGCACTTTGTAGGCATTCAGATGAAGGCGGTTATGGAGAACGTTCCATGTCGTCGTATGCGGCATTTGTAACTGCACAGCTGCTTGTCTCATTGATTTTCGTGGACTGCGAGTAAACGTTTCTTGGATGCGATCAACATTTTCCTGCGAAGTGCTCGGTCTTCCCGCTCCCTTTCGGTGTAGAACGCTACCAGTTTCCTGAAATTGTGTTAACCAGCGTCTGATAGAATTATCCGAAGGAGGATCTTTCTTGTACGTGGTCCTGAAGCGACGTTGAGTAATGACTGATTTAGTTTCGAAAAACCACAATACACACGTTGCTTTTTCTTGCACGGTCGCCATTTTTATTTATGACGTCATAATTACCCAGACTGCAAATGCGCTAAGATCGCATTGTTGCCACGTAAAATTCTTTGAGTTGTAATTTACGAATACGTAATCGGTTTTTGCGTAATATTTTTTATTCGAAAGTTATGAGGTACGGAAACCCCGACAATAATTAATGAACACCCTGTATATTTACTTCGTTCACATTAGTTTAAAAATTTGGAATAGTTAAACATTTTAATTTAATTTTTACGTTTCTATCTTCCGGCAGGGAACTTTTGTAAGTAAAGTTAATTTTAAAAACTGTAATAGTTCAAAATCATTTTTATAGAAATTTAAGCTGAAAAATCAATACTTCACAAATTCCTCTATTTCTTACACTTATTTGTACAGATTTCTGCAATAACGATTCAAAAGTAAAAAATTGCACAATTCGGTTCCTAGACGAGTTTTCCCAAACACAAGGCGTCTCGAATTAGGAACAGGCCATCTATCGAAAATTACCGCCATTAACTTCTCGACAAGAAATGTCTCGCCTCTATGATGAAAATAATAACGAGTTATTTATTGAAAGTCGGCTTTGGCCACCTTTGAAATCCTCAACGTTGTTTAAATTAATAGTAACATTTCATTTCCTCACTACATTCCATTTGGGCCTGCATAGTATACCAGCTTTTGCTCCATGAAACTTTAGGAATGGCGGTTATTGAGAAAATAACCGGTTTTGGTTATTCAGGCTTCTTTTACTGGCGGTTATAACCGCTCAAAATAAGCGTTTTTTAAAATAAAAATAAACGCGTTTGTAGGCAAAATTTTTTAATATTGTTTCTACAGGAAATCAATCCATTGGCCAATATTTATCTATTCATAAAGACTCTTTCATAAGACTCTCCAACTAACGCCTCGAGGAAGATGAAATTCAAAGCGTCAAAACTTAGTAAATTTTAATCTAATCGAACCTAAAACGAGCCTATCTAACGATCCGGTTTTTAACCTGGTTATTGAATTAAAAGAAATAACCGTTTATAATCGGTCAACCGAAACAAAAAACAGTTTCCGGTTAAAAACAGTAGGTTTTCCCATACCTACGGAACTTCAGTACTTAACTCGCCTTTCTCCGAAATCGACAGATGGCCTTCATACAGTGCAGTAAAACTAAATTAAGTTTTGATCTGTTTATTGTTGTGATGATTTAATATTTTTTATTGACTTCGTATTAAGAATTGAATCACTTGTAAATGTTTAAATAAGCTGCCATCTGTTGGTCAGTAAAGGATCGATTCATTTTGAATTAAGTACAGCGTCATTTCCAAGTACAGTGGAATCTTGGAAATCTGAACTAATTGAGGCTGACCTCTGTTCAGATTCCGGATGATCCGGAAAATTAGGTAAAGTATTCTTGATTTACCAAATGCAGTAGAGTATTGTCTTTGGGTGCTCTGTGAAAAAGTGCGGAAAGAGGTAGCTGCGATTTCCATCGTCAAGCATGTTTAGTTCCTTGAGTCAAAAGATAATTTATAGAAACAAATTCGGTTAAGGTGCTGTATTCATTCTTAAAAACCAATTCAAATGTTTTTTAAGTTACAAATAAACATTAGTTTTGTTTCCAATTCCTAACTTTTATTTTCCTTCATTTTTAAATGAAATGTTTCTGAAAATTTAAAAAAGATGTTTGGATTATCCGAAATTTCGGATATTCCACTGTACAGTATACCAACGTCTGGTTCTCGTCTGATCACCGCAGTTAAGCAGCATCCGGCGTGGTCAGTACTTAGATGGGCGACCACCTCGGAACACTGCGTGATGTTGGCATTTTTGAATCCTTAACGAGGACTTGGTTAGCTACACGAGATCAGGTGGGATTAGTCACAACAGGTACAGTAAGCGCTATTTGCAATTTAAAAACAAATAATTTGAATTTTTCCCTAATTTAAACTTTTAAAAAAATTAAATATAATTCTCAACAGTATTTTTCAATGCATCAGGATAGCGGTATTTGTAGGTGTTGCACCTTTTGGTAAAACATTTATAGGTATACAGTGCATACTGTTCCACTTAATTTTTCCTCTTTAGTAACTGAAGGATAGTAGAAACAAATATTTGTTTTCTTAAAAGTTGAAACATTTGCAAGTATTGGGGGAAGAATGGGAAGAGAACCAAGAATAGGTGTTTTTTTTAAATTGGGAAAACTCGCTGGGTTTGGAAAGAGGAGCAAAATTAAACAAAATATTGAATTTCACAGGTATAACAAAAATGATTAGCCAAAATTCAAATTTATTAACAGATTAGTCATGCAGCCGCGAAGAGCAAAAGACACCCAACTTGCTGGCTGGGATCTAACCATTTACATTCAGGTCAGTAAGCCGCACTTAACCTACAGAAGCATATTGCATCTGACAAAACCTGCAAATAACATTTTTACCCGTAGTTACTGTGTACCAACAAATCACTTCCTAAAAATAAATTATCCGAAACAATTTTATAAAAGTGGGTTTTTGTAGACACGTAGCAAAGGAAGACACTTTAGTTTCATTTTTAAGTTTAAATCTGTAAATCTAAACGTGTTTCTCTAATAAAAAGTTCGAGAATGTTTTCAGCCCTTTTTAAATTCACATTTCAAAAGTATTCTATTAACACGTTGAAGCCGGCGAGGCGACACGTTTCTTTCAATATGTGGCTCTAATTCGCTATTGATAGTGGAAATACAGAACCTATTTACAAAAAGTTTCAAATAAGTTCTACAAATATTAATGAATTTAGTTTTCTTTGTCTCGTAAGCGATAGAATCAGTAAGCTATTACTTTAAAAATTTTAATCTTTAAAATTTGGATAACATTTACACGAAACCAACTCACCCAGTAATGGTATATTTCGGCGTCAACGTGTTAATGGATACAATATTAAGGTTTATGATGAATAGGAAATTATGCACAATAAATCAAATTTAAGGATAGGACATTTATTTTTAACATTGTTACATTGGATAACAAATATTCTAGAATAACTTAAAAAAGTATAACCACCAATAAGATACAAGAATTACAAGACTTAATTTACAGATTTTACTACAAAACAAATTAGGTATAGGTGTTACAAACAGAATATGGAAAATGCACAGTATGACAATGAACCATGTAACAGACAAGGATTAATACTATTCATTGGTATAAACTCAGCACTTAAAACTGTAAACATTATTTTATATACTTCAAGTTATTAGTTTTAATTAAGCACTTTAGTATTCAACTCTGGAAGTAAAAATTCTCTTAAACTGTAAACTTAAAATTTTGCTATTGTATAAATTGTGTAACCGGGTGAAAACAGACAATGGATTAAGTTGGGTTAGATATTTTAAGAGACGAAAAAGAGGACAATGCTGAATGCTTATTACACTTGCTTAACCCCCTAAGGATCGCATATTTTTTGCTATCTAATGAGATGACCCCTCCTGTTTTAGAAATGAGCCGTCAGTTTCATTCATCCAAGAAGGCATAGAATACTCGAGATGCTTATGGATTCTACGTAGATTGTGTCAAATTAAAGCTAAATTAATGATTAAATTTGTTTAAAAGACTAAAAATGGGATAATGTGATGCACGTCAATATGACGGGAGCGAGACTTAAGGGGTCGAAAATTTCGGTAATACGAAGTTGAAAAAATTATATAGTAATTTCAAGTATTTTACACTTCAAGATATTGTATTGTACCAAAAAAAGAACAAGACTGAGCCTCAAAATTAAACGAGATTTTCAGCTTTTAAATTTTTTGAGGAAAGACTCAGTTTCTTTACATACTAGATACCTAATACTATGATAAAGAAGATCTAGCGCTATTTAGATTTAAAGACGAAATTGTGTGAAGTTAGCTGCAGTGGTATCCGCTTAAAGTTTGAGAAATAATTCAATAAACATTCCGAAAGTGGGTTGCAATGCGATAAGATAAAGGAATATCTGCATATGGTGCATCCTCAAGAATAGGCCGTGCACCCAGAAATTCAGAATTGAGTCTAGTTCTGTATTGACATGTTTTTCTTTAAAAGGAAACGGCCAAGAAGCTATTTTGCACTAGCTAGTAATTGAAATAAATATTGAATAGAACAAATTGAACTTTAATTATCCAGTTACTGTACAATTTGTAACATGAAATGAATTGAAAGTAAAGATATTAACTATTTAAGCATATACCGATACTTTATAGCTTAGATATAGCGTTATGGATAGCAGTTTCACATTTCATAAGCGTCTTTTAATATACAATTTATTTTAACACCCAATATCTAATACAATATTTATATATCTTAAATCAATCTTATATAGAAACAACCTTCAATCACTTCTCATAACTGATGACATTTGCCAAGAATATTCGTTTGATATTTTGAATATTTCTCAAAATTAAACTCAGAATAAATATCTTCCTTTTCACAAATTTTGAATGCAGTTCTTAAACCGACATTTTTAAAATCGGATTTACAAAAAATTGTGTAATAACGGAAAGAAATCTGAATAAACAGGACACAAAATTGTACAACTCGAATTAAATTTGAAAGTAGAACATAACATTTTATTGGCAGTAACACAAGCATTTTATAAGCAAAGAGCGAAGTCTCAAAAACACAAGATAATTACAAGATTCTTGGAAACTTAATGAACAAAATTTAATACAATTATGTACCGACTAAATATATAAAACCAATTTACAAAATATACGTACTATACACATGTATACATGAAACATTTTCCAGTTCTAAATTGATCTAGATTTACATAGATGATTAAGTACAACGGGAAAAGTCTTATGCCTAAAAATTTAAAGGCTGGGTGATGTACCAAACCAGCGAGATACATTTTCTATCACTTCTGTCTTTACATCTTTAGGCACGACTTCTGCATCACCTTCGGTTACGATATTTTATTACAATTTTAACAGGCACAAAGTGAATACTTGCAATTAAAGAGAAGGGAGAACATGGAAACAGTCGAAGTTTCAGTTTCTTCCCGATTCTTTTTTAGTACTTGGGATTAACCTCTTAATGTGGTTTTCTGTACCATCAAATTAGATGACCCGTTCCGTTTCGGGAATGTATTATATTAATTCAACCAAGAACCCACAGAATACCCGGGATGTTAATGGATTACTGGTCATTGTGTTGAATGATAACGTCTATGAATGACTTCATTTTAGATTATAAGTGTAAAATGCCACAATTCGATGCACGAACCCAGTTCGGGCATCACTTTTAAGGGGTTAAGATTAAAAGTTCACCCCTGAAGTTATTTTAGGTCAGAAACGTTTCGATATAAATGCATTTATTCTGCATACACAAATATTTTTAAAACAGGACTGTAGGAAAAAGGAAAAAAAAAAAGAATCAACTTCCGATCGAAGGAAACAGCATTCAGATTAGAGTTTTATAAAGTTAGGTAAAGATATTATTTGACCATGCTTCAGATATACGATTGAAAGATACAAGCTATATAATTCAACAAAAAAGATATCAACTAGCTTTAATACCTTTTAGATTTCCATAAGTGCTGAAACAAGAGCGTTTGATGACAAATCCTAAAAACTGGATGATAACGTTTTATAACCCTTTTCGAACAGGTACGGCGTATAATGTGCGCCACAGTTCACCGATTTCGAAATTGAGGTATAGGAAATCCAGTTGAAGAGGATAGAGGCTAAAATTCGGACACAAATGTGTATATTATGCATCCTCTCAAGCTCCTAATCATATTGCACTATAAAAATAAAGTTTTAATTAATTAAATAAGCATAGAGTTGGAAAAAATGGATAGCGTATAAAGTGCACCAACCTGATCCGAGTGTTCTAAAAAGTTCCCCGTCAACAAAGGGTTAAATTAACTGCTCGATCCGAGAAAGTACCCAAAAAACATCTGCACGATATTTATATAACCAATGGACTGAGGAAGTCAATATTTCGATTAAGATTTTCTGCTATGAAGTTTCGCACAAATGTTAACACAAAAATCAACACACACCGAGGATGGAATGTAGAGTAACGAAGTAAAATATGGACAAACTCAGTCAATTCGACGTGCTGATATTCGTCTTCTCAAATAAATATTTGTGGAAGAATCTTATCAATTGCCTTTCGACTAGACACGGATAAATGCTTGGTAAGTTGTGTTGAATGCTCAGTTATTCTTCACGTTATAAAATGTGCCAGTTCATACTTGTATATTACACTAAAAACTTCTAAAACCAACATTTATTTAATGGATCAGAAATTAATAAACAGTCTCGAATGAACTATAAATTAGGATGCGTTCTAAATAGCATTTGAGAGCAATTAAGGCATGGCATGAAGGGCTTCAAGCAAAACAGGTGGCGGATGACATTGTAAAAATTTGTGGCAATTTCTCGAGACAACTGGCTCGGTGATGAATTTAATATATTGATCACAAAGAATGAGACTGACATATGACGATGTAAAAGCCACAGCCGATGTGCCACAACTTCAATTTGAAATTAGCGCTTCAAATCCTTTCTAACGAAGAAAAAGAAATTTTTTGGTGAAGTCTATACCACCATTTGAATTTGAAAAGGATATATAATAGCCCTTTTCCTGAAAAGAGCCCGAAATTGTGAAGATGCACTTAGTTGTATAAAGAGAACCGAGAATAAGAATTGCAGGGAATTAAGCAACTCCATAGCACATGTTCGTTATCCGATACTCTACCGTAGAATCAAAAGCACTTACTAAAAGACTTATTTACGAAAAGTTAACTTCCAAGATGCTGTAGAGAAGAGAAAGCCCCGCAAGAAGCACATCGATATGAATGC